GAGTGAAGGAAGGAATAAATGAATAAGGCTTGGGGGGCAGCAGGGCCGGCCTGCCCGAGCACCAGGCACATAGCCAACTCCCGTCGGAGGAGAGGCCGGGCCTGAGCAAGGGCCAGTTTCAGTGGGGCCAGCGGTCATGGAAGGCTCCAGTTCTGTGGGGCACTGGTCTGGAAGGTCTGGAAGCCCGGGAGTCAGGCTGAGGCCGGGCCCCACCCACTGCCAGGGCAGCTGGGACAGGAGAGAAGCGTGTGCCACTCAGGTGTTTAGGGCTCACCCCCGGAGCAGCATGATCTGGGGTTTTGGGCGACACCGGTTCTTAGGGAGGATCGATGAGCCCAACATTCATCCATTCACTGTATTCTTTTTACCTTTTCTCCCAGGCAGCAGATGTTCATGAAGGTGGCATGTCACGGGCTGTGACAGGCCGACCACATCCCTGACTGGCCCTGTGGAGTTCGTAGCCTAGAGAGGGAAACAGAAAAACCAACAGGCTCTTCCCTCCCAGAGTGACAGGGGCAGCATGGGGGGCGCGAAATGCAAGGAGCTGAGAGAGAGAAGCGAGGGGCATCTGTCCCTGTCTGGCGGTGGTCAGAGAGGGCTGCCTGGAAGCAGTGATACCCAGGCTGAGACCTGAAAGGCCTATGGCAAAGAGCAATGTGAAGTAGGAGGGGAGGGGTGTCCGAGGTAGCGGGAGCGGCTTCTGCCAGGCCTAGAGGCAGGAGAGAGTGGGCGAGGATCTCGGAGAGCGGCGAGGAGCCCGGTGTCTTGCTGTGCTTTGGGTCCTGGCCCTCCTCCCCAGCCTGGGTGATGGAATTCTGTCCCTCCTGTCTCCATGGTCCTGCCTGCTGACAGTCTCCCTCCTGGTGCCCATGGCCTCGGGCCTGGGGGAGGCTCTGCTGTGGAGCTTGGGGCATCAGAAGCACGGCACCAAGGGGCCCTGACTCTGGGACTGAAATCCCTGGTGTGTCCTGGAGGCCACCTCGGCCCAAACATCAGCAGCCTCTGGACAGGGCCCGGTCTTGCAGAGCCTGGAAAAAACACGGCGCGTTTAGAGGCACGAAGGCAGGCTTCTGGGATTTACATTTGGGAACCCAGACATGACAGCTGTCCTGCCTTAATTCCAGGATGGCAGAGGGAGAGGGGAGATTCCAGCTGGGCATGCACGTGGGTGCCGGCTGGAGCAGGGGCCTCTCAGTGGCTGGCCCCGCATGCCAGTGACTTGGGTGCGGAAGAAGAGCAACGGGGTTTATTTCCCTCCTGACACTCAGCTGGGGCGCCAGTCATTCCACCTGCCCCTCACTCGGCTGAGCACCTCGGTGCAGATGAAAGAGGGCGATGCGTCAAACAGTCACAAGCTGCACGGCCCGGAAGGGGGTGCGAGGGTGGCAGGCGTCCTGCCCACGGCTCCTGCCAGCCTCGCAGCCTCGCTGGCTGAGGATCAAACAGCGCAGACGTGGCCCGGGAAGCAGAGTGGTGGGCAGGCGCCTTCTCGACGGGGCGCGCGGCCCCCCAAACCTGAAAGCGAGCTCCGGGAGTACCAGAAACTGACCACAAATGAACATTTCTCCGTGACGAGTGGCCTTGTGCCAGGGAGGTAAGAAGGTTCTCATGAGCGCAGGTCCTTTCCCAAGCAGGAAGGAGTGGTTTTTACAGTTTTGCCCTCTTCCGCATTTCTCTGAAGCTTAAGGCCTGCTGCGCGCCAGGCGGGGCGCGGAGGTGTCAATGTCTGTTTGACCATCTACAGCATTTAGGGAGCTGCCAGCAGGAAGGACGGGGACTTGGTGACGCTGGGCTTCATGCTGGGTCAGCTCGGAGGGTCCTGTTCCCGTCAGCCGTGCAGCCCCTGCATCTCCCCAGGGCACCTCCGTGGCCAGGCGTGTGGCTGGCCTTTGGCAACGTGAGCTCAGATTTGCTTTCTTTTGCTACGGCGCTTCTGGATGCTCCTCTGTGAGCCTGTCTGCTGCACCCGCCCGACGAGGGAGGATTTGACAGGGGAGGTGACAGGGCTGCCTCTGCAGGTTGGGCGCTGGGAGGCTGTACACGTGGAGGGGCCAATGGCAATAAATCTTGGATGGAGTCAGCAGTGGACTTGCTTGGCAGGCAGGGCTGGGTGAAAGGAGACTGGGCAAGGAGACAAGGAGCAGATCTCAGCCCAGGCTCTGCAGTATTTGTATTGAGAACTGTTAGGCGGAGCTCCTTTAAGAGGATGTGGAGGGAGTTGGCGTCATCTGGCAGATACCACAGGGCTTTACCTGCGAGAGGTCAGGGGAGGGAGGTCATGAGGTGTGAGCGGGGCACTGGCTCTCTGATCTTCTTTAGGCCGGAGCTGGGAGGTCAGAGGGCATCTCAGGGACGCCCTGGGCAGCTGGATGCAGTCTTGGTGTGAGTGCAGATCTGGCCCCTCCGCTTATTAACTGGGCAAGTGGCCCAGGTGACTTGAGACTGGGTTTCCCCATTGCAGGATTGTGTAAGGTAAACAATAACAGTGCCTCCCGTGTGCCAGGCCCTTTGCACATCACATCGCGCCTCATGCGATCATCGAGTTCATTAGCTCCCCGAGCCCAGAGACCAGGAATCTGGACCAAGTCTGTCTGGCTCTTTCCCCGGCACCGTGTGGCTCTCGTGTGTGACCACACCCAGCTCTGCACTTTACATGCAGTAGGTGCCCAGAGATATTAGCAGGAACCATCGCCCTCCTTCCCTCCCCGAAGGCTCTCTTTCCTCCACCCTCTGTGTACGCTCAGTACAGCACACACCTGTCTCAGCCTCACCTGTGTGCAAGGCTGGGCTCCCTTCCCGCAGGGCAGCCCCGTTGTGGGGAGCTGCTCCCCACACCCTGGCTGCAGCCCCCCAGAGTGTGGCCACGTAGTGAGCTCGTGCTAAGAGAATGTGAGTGGAAGTGACACACGTCAGTAGCTGGCGGGGTTAACAAGTGGGTGTGCTGGGGGCGGGGAAGGGAGTCTTTTGATGGGTGCTGTTAGCTCTGCACGATGAAGAAGTTCTAGAGAACGACGGTGCAACAGTGGGGGAGGCACCTTTTGTGGAGATGGGGAGCCCAGGGAAGGAATAGCGGGCTGTTGGGTGAGACAGTCCCAGTTTGTTGACCCCAAGGTGGACAATGGCCCTTCCCATGGTCTGAGTCCATGTGCTGAGAATCAGCCCCTAGACTCTGCCCTTCTGTTTGAAGGGTCTGGAGCCTGTCACTGCCAGGGGTACCGGAGGGCCCCCCAGAACGCCTGTGACAGCCCCGCCCCCATGCCTCCCGTCCCATGGGTACCCGGCAGATGCCTCCTGGAGCTGATGATGGTTTGGGTCGGGGTGACCTGCAGTCTGAATGTGCAGGACCATGAGGTAAAGCAAAGTGATGCTGTGAACGCACGTACTCAGAGAACTTACATAGCTCTTGCGTTGCCTTGAAGATAAATCTATAGGATTTGCTTTGCTTTGTGGCATTTATGAGAAATCTACCTCGCAAATGGGTTTCAAAAATAACCTCTCACAGCTCTGCGTCGTGCTCACCTGTGGGGATGGGGTGTGGAAGTGTGTGCGTGGCCTGGAGGTCTGGGCCTGAGACCGGCTTGGGTCACAGCGGGAGGGACGTGGCAGGACTTGGAGGTGTCTGCTGTGCCAGGGGCTTAGGCCTGGAGGGTCAAAGGCCAGGGGAGACAGGCATCTTTAGTGGGTGGAGGAGCTCCTCTGGCACAGCGAACCCTCAGCATCAGATGTGTCCCCGGCAGGGCTCCGTCGTGGTCCCCTGACCCTGGTGCCCGGGGCCTCCTTGTTCATCAGTAACTATGGGGACTTCGTTTCCAGCATTCCCGTGGGGACGCTGGCCATTCCCCACAGCCTCAGCTGTAGAGGTGGGAAGTGGAGTCTGCCTGTCCTCCCAGCAAGCACAGGGCAGGAGAAGTGATGGACAAGCCTCTCAGACTGAAAGAACCGTTTCAGACTGAGACCGGCTTCTTCCCAGACCCCTTCCTCCCCCTGTGCCCTCTGACTGGGCCAACGGCCCCCATCTTCCCGAACATGAAGTCAACACAACCCTCCATCCTCCCCACACCCACATCCACTCGGTCACTTGGCCTGCTGATGCCAACCTGGAAATGCTCCCTGAGTCTGTTCCATCCTCTCCTTCCCCCCAGCAGCTCTCCCCTGGGCTATGGAAATCTCTGAACTGGTCACCCATGTCCAGTCTCTCCTTCCTCCACCATCTCCAGGAGGATGGTCCTGAAACCCATCTGCATGCCTGGTCACCACACTGATGCTTAAAAAGTTCCCTTGACTCCTTAATATCTACAAGACGAATTTTAACGTTCCCACTTTATTCATGGAACGTTGCACCTTTGTGGTGTCCCAGACCCATGTGCAACTCCGTGTGTCTTCACATGTCACTCTTTCTGCCAGGAATGCCTTCACCTCTCCCTCTCTCTTTGTCTGGGAGGGTGAATCAACTGGCCTGGCAATGGTTAGGGCAGCAACGCCAGAGTAGATGGCACCTTTGCGTGAGTGACACGGTGGCATGCCATTTGGTAAGGGGTTTGATAGGTGAGTGTGTGTTTGTGTGTGATGTGTACCCCTTGGCATGCCCAGCCTGGCTTCTGGGAGTGTCCTGCGGCAGGGCAATCTTCCTCCTGCACCCAGTCTGGGCTGTGGCCCCTGGAAAGTGCGTCATTCCTCCTTGGATGTCTAACCTGCAAGCTGGGCCCACGCCCAGGCTCTGGCTCCCTGCGGAACGTCTAGTCACACCAGCAGCACCGCCCAGCACGAGCCTTTGAGAAATGCGTACGTAAGCACAACTTTATGGACCTGCTGGGCTGGCAGGTGCGGGAATCTGAGTGATTGCAATTTGCACAGGTTGACCCTCAGACAAGCATGGTACCAATTATTTCTTGGTGAGCAGCTGTACCAGTCTTTTGTAGCATAATAACGGGGAGTTTGGGGAGCACGCCTCTAAGAAGGCTTTGGCTGGGGAGCTTTTTCAGCTGGCTCTGTCTTTCCAGCCGCTGTCACTCAGTGGGCACGAAGAGACCTCAGCCAGCTTCCTGAGGCCTGATGACAGCCAAGCTGCAACTCTTCCGGCAGCACCATGATGCTCCATGCCAGGCACCTGGCCTCATCTCATCCTCCCTGCAGCACTAAGAGGTAGATGCTTTTATCCCTTATGAAAGATGGGGACCTTAGTGGTTAGCAAGGGGCCTCCCAGGGGCTCGTGGCAGAGCTGGAATTAAACCTGGGCATGTCTGACTCCCAAACTCTTGCCCTTCTGCCACTGTGTCTGTCCCTGAGGAGTCAGGGGTGAATGCCTTTTGAACCTAGCTCCTTGCTTGTCTCTCCCACCTCATCCCCAGCCACCGCCCTCAGACACCCTGTGTTCTAGGTACATTGAGCTTACGTCCGGGGAGTGCAGAGCAGCACAAACTTTGTGTCTTTTATGTCACATGGACAGCCAACGTGTGCTAGAGGCTGTCTCTGTGTCAGAACGTGGCAGACTACAAAAAAGGCCATTGTTCTTTCCCTCCCCAGATTCACACCTCCTTGCCATGTTACTTTGGGAGCTCTCTCATTCTTTTTTTTTTTTTTAAGTTACTGCATTATTTTAGTTTTGTTTTTTTATTGATGTATAGTTGATTTACAAAGTTGTGTCAATCTCCGCTGTACAGCAAAGTGACTCAGTTATACACATATAGACATTCTTTTTTGTGTTCTTTTCCATTGTGGTTTATCACAGGATATTGAATATAATTCCCTGTGCTCTACAGTAGGACCTTGTTGTTTATCCATTCTATATATACTAGTTTGCATCTACCAACCCCAAACTCCCAGTCCATCCCTCTCCCTCCTCCCCTTCCCCTTGGCAACCACAAGTCTGTTCTCTATGTCTATGAGTCTGTTTCTGGTTTGTAGATAAGTTCATTTGTGTCGTGTTTCAGATTCCACATATAAGTGATATCACGTGGTATTTGTCTTTCTCTTTCTGACTTACTTCACTTAGTATGATAATCTGTAGTTTCATCCATGTTGCTGCAAATGGCATTATTTCATTCTTTTTTATGGCTGAGTAGTATTCCATTGTGTATATGTACC